AATATTCAGATTTTTAAGAATCAATAATCCAGTGAGAGATCAAATTGGTGAAGTTGGCAGCGCCCCCTGCTGGAGCATGAGGTGAACAGACTCGTGTGATGATCGGTGTCTGTGATTTCCGAGGTGAATGTAGCACGTGTTCCGGTGTGACACGTAAATAATAATAATAATAATAATAATAATGGTCACGTTACTGTATCATAACAACCTCATTAAGTTAATTGAACTTGTTCAGTCTGTTATTTAAATAAAGAGGAAATGGCAACAGCGCCTCCCAGTGGACAATAAAGCGGAAGCGGAACTTCTGTGTACCTGTGTTGTTTCACCCGGAGGACTGTGAAGCTCGTGCAGCAGTCGTGCGGTAATGTTGTGATTATTATTGATTATTGATTATTGATTTCATATCGACAAACAGGTCGCGATGCAGAACGACTGGTCTCTGATTGGTCCGCTGGAGTGGACCCGTTACGTCAACAAACAAGTTAAGGTGAAAGCGGGAAAAGATGAAGAGCGGCGCGGGATTCTGATCACAGTGGATCCGGTGTCTGCCAGGTAACACGCACACAGACACACACTGTACAGTACACACACACAGACACACACTATACAGTACACACACACAGACACACACACAGTACACACTCACAGACACACACACACTCACAGTACACACACACAGACATATATATATGTATATAAAGAGAGAGAGAGATAGACACACATATTAACACACGTATCCAGATGCAGCTCAAGTTGAATATTTATTACATTTTACATTTGACTCAGTTTAACTTTGATGAAGACGAGAGAACTCGCCTCCTCGATGTTGATGCTTTTACTTTGGTAGAGCTCTGTGTATCTACATCCTGCCGTGATGAAACACATGAAGAAGAGATTTGATTACACAACTGCATCACAGTCCTTTATTTAAGTCAAACACGTGAGGAGGCGTGTCAGTAACTCTGACCACACGCATGTTCTTTAAATGTAGTATGATAAAAACTTTACGTCTTTAAAAGTTGAGACATTTAAAGGAGCCTTTATTCTGACAGTCTGTTGTTTCCTGTGTAACTTTATTTTGTTAATGATTTTCTTCCTGTTGGGTATTTGTTCTGTTTGGATCTGGTCTGACTCTGATCCAGGTCTGGTGTAGATCTGGTCTGACTCTGATCCAGGTCTGGTGTAGACCTGGTCTGACTCTGATCCAGGTCTGG